TCTATTCCAAACTTATGCCTTTTCCAACTTTGAGCAAATATTTAAATCTCTCTGAATCTCAGATACTTACCTATAAAATGCATAAAACTTGATGAGGTTGTTTCAAAAGAAAATTACCCAGCAAAGCACTAGATATTCAATAAAAGCTAAATAAATGTTTATCATCATTATTAATATTTTGTCTAAGGACCAATTTCTGGGTCCTTAGAAGAAGCCATTTCAGCTGTTAAACATAAAAGCTCAGAAAATTATCTAACATTCATAGCTTTTTACCTGTTAAGGATTTTTCGGGGTTTTTTTTGTTTGTTTTTGTTTTTTTTTTTTTTTTTTTTAATGGGATGCTAGCATTGCAAAGCAAGACTCCCCCATGTGCATTTGGAGAATAAAATAAATTCACAGACTCTGACTAGTTCTGGTGAAGGCATTTTTTAGGAAATCATTTAAACCTCAGTTTCTTCCTTTGTAGATTGGATGGTTCTGTCTGCCCACTTACTTGTCCAACTCCCCTCCAGGGCTTACAGCCCCTGTTGGGCTTCTGAATGTTTCCCCACCTAATGCCTCTTCCAGCTCTTTCCACTTCTACCCCCAAACCACCCCCTACCAGTCTCAATGCTACCTTTTCTTCTACTTAGTTCTCCCTTCTTCCATGTTAAAGCAGCCAGTCCTGTGTTCACCTGAACATAGAGCCCAAGCACCATAGCCTGGTCTTTAGGGCCTCTCCCAGGCTCCCTCCCCAGTCTCCCCTGACCAACGTTGGCCCTGTACTGACCCCTGTATTGTAACTGGTGTCCAATGAGACTGGCAGTTCCCAGAAAACTGGGAAGATATTTTATCTTTGTGTTTGCCCAGTACCGACAGTGTCTGGAAATGTCCCCTGAGTGATGGGAAAATATGTCTGCCTTTATTTCTCAGAGTTTGTTATGAAATTCAAATGAGAAGGTCTTTATAAAAGAACAGTATGTACTAAACTACAAATATAACAACCCTAAACCTTCTGAAGCTCTGGACTCAAATAATACCTCTTCTGGGTGAATGAAGGAGATGCTTCATTTCCAGAAAATTAGATAGATTTACTCTTAAATAATCAAGACCATTTAAGACTTGGAACTCACTCAACAAAAAGCCAAATTAAAGCCTGTTTCCATTCTGTGTTCCATTTAGGTAAGTGGTGTTTAAATAGACATTTAAAAATAAATTCTAATGGGTTGTCTCATAAAATTTTATAACTATAATATAAAATATTCAGCCAATAGGAACAGAAAATAGAAACCAAACCTGCTTTAGAATAAAACACTTTTTTAAAAATAAAGACAAGCATGAAGCTTGACTGAAGAATTCTGATGCTGGGATTGAGGCTGGGGGACCATGTGGGTTCTAAGAGTGAGGCTGGGGGACCATGTGGGTTCTAAATGCCAGCACTGAACCCAGGTCTGCTCAGAAGCCTCACCTGCGAGAAAGCTGGGTAGGCAGCATCCCACTCCAGGGTGATTTTGAAGCTGTCATGGGTGCAGATGTCCCTAGCAAAATGTGACAACTGCAGTAGCCAGATTCAGCAAGTAAAAATGTAAGATGCCCACATACTGCAGAAAAATGCTAAGGCTAACAAATTATTTACTCTTTACCCCAAATTCCAGTTTATCTGAACAAACTATGTTTTATCTGGAAAACCAAGCTATACCCCAAATAACTTTAATAACTTTAAACTGGTGTCTGTTGACAGGATGGGGCTCTGGGACATTTTCCGGAAAGAATTCCCACTGGCTTTCTCACTGTAAACATTTTAGGTCAAAAATCAAGTGGCGGTAGATTGCCATCTAGTGGAACGATGGAGGTTGGTAAGGAAAAAACTTGGAGTAAACTGATTTTCTTTTTCTTATTCCGAGATTTGCAAAGAAAGATTCTACTGTGGCCAACAACAGAGTCCCATGGTTGTACTGTAGAAGATGAAGACGGCAAGTATAAGGTGGGGGAGGCAGGAGCAGATGGGTTTGCCCAGCGGTTTCAGTGGAGTCACACAGGAGCAGGACCCTCAAGCTGCAGAAATTGCTGGACCTTGTGAGAGAAGGTTCAGCCATGAGGACTCTGCCCTCGTGAATGGATTAATGTCATCTACATGGAAGTGGGCTGTTATAAGGTGAGTTCAGTCCTCTCTTGCTCTTTGGCAAATGCCATGTGATGCCTCTGTCACCCTTCCCCAAGGAAGCCCTCACCAGATGTAGTGCCTGGACCTTGCTTCCCAAACCACAAGCAAATATATTTTGGACTCCCCAGTTTCCAGAACCATGATCAAATACATTTCTGTTCATTATAAGCTACTCAGTCTATTGGTATTCTGTTATAACAACATAAAATGTACTCAAACAGTCAATAATGGTAATATAAAACCAAATTGGGGACAGGAAAGAACAAGGGAAAGATAAATCTACTCCCTGAGGCAGACATAATAATATCCATATAACACGGAGAAAGCAAAAGCACTTAGTTCTTGGTTCAGCCTCTATGCTCAAAGAAAGGAAACAGTATGGAAATTAAGAGTTGGGCATAAAAACGTAAGGTAGACTTAGGACCCAAACCAGAGTCTCATAAGTGCTTAAATAATTCTATATTTTGTTCAGTGAGAACAGGAAAGGTGATCTGAGCCTTCATAGAGGCAAATATCTTGATTTTCAAAGAGACGGTTTTTAGAAACTAAAGGAAAAGAACTTCAATGTGAAATTCTTACAGGCTTCTGTAATAGATTGTTAAGAGGAGGTTTATCAGCATTTTGATAATATGGTTTACGGTTAATAAACACCAGGCACAGTGGTGCACACCTGTAATCCCACCGACTTGGGAGGCTGAGGCAAGAGGATTGCAGATTTGTGGGCAGCCTCAGCAACTTAGCAAGACCCCTCAGCACTTTAGCGAGACCCTGTCTCTGCATAAAATTTAAATATTACAAAGGGCTGCCTATCCAGCCCTTTGTAATATTTAAATTTTAAATATTACAGTGCAAAGTGTACAGTGCAAAGTGCCCCTGGGTTTAATCCCCAGTACCAAAATAACAAATAACTACAAACAACAATTGGTGTTCCAAAAATACAAGCCACACCAAACTCATCTTATTTGTTATGTAGTTAGGTTTCCAAGAATGTTAAATTATCTGATTGCTGTACAGACAATGTGATTTGTCTTTATTCGGTCAAAAATGCAGTCCCCCCCCACCTCCACCCACATACAAAAAGTCTGTGGGAAGGTGCAAACAATGGCTTTGGATGATAACAGAGTTGAGGAGCATTTGTGCGACCCCTGGCAGGTTCTGCATCTGCATCTTCTCCTCTCTCTCACTCCTCTTCCTAACTGGCCTTTCAACCCTGCCTCCCTAGCCCTCAGTCACTCATCTCCTGTCTTTTATAACTACCTCCTGGTTTTCCTTGGTCACATGCACCTGTCTGTCCCATGAGCTTCCCCTGCTCCCTTCAGTTTCACTTCCTATTTCAGGTGACATCTCCCCATCCTCCCACTTTGTCTTGCTCCCCTCATGAGCTTGCTGTAAGGGCTCTCACTCTCCAGGTCTGTGCCCTTTTTCTCTTCTGCTAGACCTTATTTCAGGAGAGATAAATCCCTATGTCTCTTCCCCTCTTCTGTCCCCTGGTCTGTGCCCTGTTACTTCTCGTGCAGTCTCTATGCTCCATTCGTCTTTCTGACTCTTTTTCCAATCCCTCTCCCGGGTGCCACACCCCCATCCCTTCTCTTTTCAGATTGGTTGATGACGCTCCTTTTCAGTCTTCCGTTTAGCCCTTAATGTGCTGAAGCAGGACCTCAAGCTTGGAGCCAATAGGTTCTAATTAATATTTCCTCCTTCATTGCCTGATTTGGCTGACCACTAGCAGATGGAAGGAAGCCATTCAGGTTCAGTGTGGATACAAAGCCCGTCTACGCAATGGAGCAGGAGGAGCAAGGCCCACACAGGCACGTCCTCACTTTTTGCCATTCCTTCATGAGCCCCAGACCCACTGTCCAGCCATCAAGGACAGTTTCATCATTGGTCAAACTGCCTCTTTCCTCCTCTTCCCTCAGCTCAACCTACCACCAAAGCTCCCTAGACTAGCTCCCAGCCCCGGGGTGCAACCATAAACAGAAGTGGTAAAACTGAAGTTCATGGGTGAGAGCTATAGCGATCATTTTAGGAGATCTCTCAAGGTGCTTCTTTTGGTGTCTCTGCTAGCTGGGGTGGGAGAGACACAAAAGACCCTGGATCCTTCACCCCTGTGGCATTGTCCTGCACAGGAGAGGACTGCCAACTTGCAGTTCTTACTCGTGTACTTTTTTGGGTGCCCTCATCCCTTATTCTTTCTTCTTATCCTCTCCCCCAGATAAGAGCTTTGGGGAAATTAGTCACAATTTGCAACACTGGAGACTTGGCTTTGAACACCCTTGGACTTCTCTTGCAATGCTAGTTCTACAGGACCCAAGTTTTAGGGACAAACCCAGACTCAGGTTTAGATCTAGGTTTGTGAATAGAATGTGATTTAATGGCAGGACTGAAGGAAGAGCTCAAGACGCCCAATTTCTCCTTTAGGGGAGCCAGGAACAATACATGATCATGTCCAGTGGGGACTCCCCCACAATTACATCTAACAACTAGTCAGTGGTAGGCAACGGAACTCTCCTAGGTTGAGGGGGAGGACTCACAATCAGAGAACACAAGGTAGACTAGTTTACTGCTTATAGTGGCCCTCGGGCTCAGTGTCCAGCAGTGAAAGGAAACAACGTATTGACACAACATTCAGAAGTAACCTGGGCTCCCCTTTCTTCAGGAATATCATAGAGGTGTGGGGGAAGGGCAGGTCCAACCCTCTTCCTTCTCTAATGCCCCGCAAGACAAGAGCACACTGGGGAGGCATCAGATCCCACCCAGCCCAGAATCCTTCCCAGCCCTTCCATCAGCACCCCCTGTGCAGGTACCCCAATCCTGTCCCCCCCATGCCCAGGACCCTCTTTCTACTCTTTGACTCCAACTAGGGAGCACAGCCATTCTTGTCTTCTCTGACCTCCTCCAATGTTGTGGACGGCTCCAGGGAGGAGACAGGCTGCTTTTCTTGTGCCTTGCTGAGTAAGGGCCCAGTTCCTGGTCTGGCCTCTTCTGGCAGTGGGTCAAGACCTGGAGAAGGCTGCCTGCTCATTGCCTGAGCACCAGGAGCTGCACACAGATCAGGAAAATAGCCATCTGCTCCTGAGGGGTGCCCCAGTGTCTGTGGGTAGAGTGGACCAGGGAAGGGCAGTTCTGGCAAACAGAGGTCACTCCAGGACACTGCACCTGGGAGGAGGGTCAAAAGACATAGGAATTATTAGACAGGACAAAGAGCATCAAACATCATTCAGTGCCTTTTAAGAAGGGATTCTCTTTTACCATCCGTAGCACCACAGCTTAGGACCCCAGTGCAAGTCTTGGAAAAACTAGCACCAAGCTCTGCCCACAGGACCAGGAAGGCTCCTGGGCTCCGGGTTCATTGGTTTGGTAATATGGACACAGAGTGGACCTGGGTCAGGCCAAGTGCTGTCTCTTGCAGTCAGCAAGGACAGTGGGGCCACCTGGACGGGTCTTCCATCCCCTTCCCAAGAATTCTCAATGAGTGGATGCTTCTGGGACTTCTGAGGTCCAGGTGGCCTAGTGACATGCTGACATAGGCTGCCATCTACTCTCTGCCACGTTGTCTTTACTCATATTGTTTCTAATCCTCACCAGGTCCTTCAGTGATCTGCACTCTTGTCCCCACAACTAAGTCCAGGACACTGAGACTTAGGAGACCTGTAACTAGCTGAGCTGGGACAGGTAAAAAGCACGCCCTGCCTCAGTCTACCCTGCAGATAATGAGGCTGTCTGAGCCTCTGCACCTTCCTCAATCATAAAAGGATCTTCTTTCCCAGCCCCAACTCACCCACATTTCCAGCGGGTGGCTGCAGCAGAATCTGCCCCGATGGAGGGCCTGAGTAGTAGCCCTGTGACATGCCCCCACTGGGACCACAAGGAAACATAAAGAGGGGGTCTTCTGGTGGTGGAAAGGTCAGTGAACTGGGCATGGGGAAGGGGAAGGGAGGCAGGTATGAAAACTGGGGCTGGGGAGGTTGGAAAAGCTGAGTCTGTGGAGGTTGGGGGAACTGGAACGGTCCTGGCTGGCTGCTTTGTTGGTAATCCTGGACTTCCGGGTCTTCCAGATACGAGCAGATGGGTGGTGAGGAGATGCTGTGGGGGACAGAGGAATGTGTAGTGAGGTCCAGAGGTGGCCTGGTTCTTCCGCACAGTATGCGAGATCTTCTGACTTCCTCCCCCCAGCTCTGTGGGCACCCCACACTGCTTCCCGCCCCCCTCAGTGCTCCTGCCTGTCCTCTTTCTTTCTGTTTCATTGAAACAATATCCTAGATCATTCCTACTCCAAATCCACTTTTTAAAATATATATATATTTTAGTTGTTGATGGACCTTTATTTTAGTTATTTATTTATATGAGGTGCTGAGAATCCCACCCAGGACCTCACACCTGCCAGGTGAGCCTGTACCACTGGGCCACAGCCCAGCTCTCACTTACCCTTTTAATTCCCATCACACGTACTATTCCTTGCTCCTCGCAGCCCTTCCCCTCTCAAGGTCTGACTTTTCCTCCTTTGTATCCCTCCCATAATAAATCAGGTCTCTCTCCCTCTTAGGTCCCATACCTTGTCCCCCAGGATCCAGTGGGACTGCTCTCACTACCGGGGACATCTGCCAGCAGAGACAGCAGTTGCGGGGTGTGCACAGGGCCCAGGGGAAAAGGAAAGTTGGTTCTTCGAACAGGTGGGGGACTGAAGAGTGGTGGGGTCACCACCCTCCGAGTACCCTCGCTTTGTTGGATGGGTGCCAGAGTCTGGTCGGACATCATCAGCAGAGGGGGCTCTAGGAACAGAAGTCAAGGAAGGACTTAAGAAGACAGCCAGGCAGACCTGGGACTGTGGAATGACAGACCTGTGCGAAGCCCAGGGTCCCCTGAATGGGCTCCTCTGGCCCAAAACCCTGGAGAGCTTTGTCCCATTCCCATTTCTTGGGCAAGGAATCTCTGAAGGGCAAAGACCTTTCTTGGGCAAGTGAACCCTCTGAAGGTAGGAGCTCACCTGGAAAGGTATCCAGAGTGGGCTCTGCAGGGAAGGGGCCGGACTCCCCGTCCATGGGCGTGGGAGGTGGGGGCTCTTCTGTAGAGCTGGAGGCAGAGAAAAGGGACAATGTAGCTCTGGTGGTCTCTGGATTTAGACAAGCACCTCAGAGCAGAGAAGGATACCAAATCCATAAACTCTGCCTCCTGTCAGACACTGGCCACCTCCAGCCCCTTCCCAGTCACAAACTCTAGCAACAACCCCAGGCCTGACACCCAGCTTCCAACGCTTGCCCCTTCAAGATCCCAGGATCCCAGTTTGGCTTCCACTTCTACCTACTGGAAGGTCCAGAGGGTTCCTCACCTGCACTGGCTGCTGGCAGGAACTTCAGGATTGTCCTCATTTTCTTTCCCATTCAACTTCTCAACTTTTCGCCACTTTGCCCGGCGATTCTGGAACCACACCTATGAGGTAAAGATACTTGGAGAACTTGAGGAATTGGGGAGGAGAAACTAGAGTCCAGGGACATCTGCCAGCAGAGACATCAGTCAACACGGTGCATGGCTACATAAGGGTGGGAGGTCCTGTCACCACTTTGCTTCGGAAGCCTGCCTGTCCGCTTGGTTTAACAACCAAGGCCTCTGCACCTCTTTCTTCTTCTGATAGTACATGGCAGCAGCACTATTAGAAGCCCGTGGAGAGGCACCACAACAGAGACCCAACTTCAGCCTCCCTGCACACTGAGGATGAGCACGTGCCCTAACCCACAGGAATTCCAATGGGTAGCTTCTCAGCAACCTCCTACCCCTGCTGGTTAACCAGCCCCCTTTACCATGATGCGCTGGGGAGTGACCCCCACCGTCTGGGCTATCTCCCGGCGCTTGTCACCATCAGGGTAGTGATCTTCTTGGAACATTCGCTCTAGCTCTTCCAGCTGGTCTGCAAGAAGAAATGGGCAGGAGGAAGTCAATCACAGTGACATGGCAAGAGAGAGGAAGAGATGCCTACCAGGTGTCTCCAGCAGACAGGACCACTGTCCCTGCCCCAAGAGCCTTGCAGCTAAGTTCCCCAGTGGGCCAGGCATTCTCTCTTGGGCGTCATGGCTGAGACCTGTGTGGGGTTTGCTATCCTGACCCTTCATCCTGGTCCTAAGCTTGCTTTCTGCTGAGACAACCTAGCCTTCCCCTTGGGGCCAAAGGCACTGCTGTGGGGTCAAGAGAGATCCAGGACAAAGTGATATACAAACGGTTTACCTGAACGGTAGAGGGTTCGAGTCTTTTTCCGGACTTGGCAGTTCACTTCTGGGGGCCCCTTCTTCTGGTCTGTGTTTTGGATGTTCTGGGTCAATGTGCTGAGGAGGTTGGCCAGGTGGCAGGGGCCCCGGCCTGACCCACAAGGCACAGGGTTGTGAGTGGCACAGGATGACTTAGCAACACTGAGCAGTGATGTTGAGGCCAGATCCGTGGCATTGGGCTTTTTGTGTTTACCGGGGCCTGGGGAAGCCGGTCTCTTTACTGTCTTTGCCTGTCGTGCTAAGAGGGAAGAGCCTTGCCCTTGAGACTGGGGTCTGCCTGGGTTCTGCCTGTCTTTGTGGACAGCCCTGGAGCTGGATGGCTGGCACACGCGCCTGGCATTAGCACGAGTCGGTTCTCCAGTGGGCTCTGGAGGCGGCTCCTCTCCTGAGATGGCACAGGGGGGTGGCAGCTCTTCTTTCAGGGTGTCCTGAGTGTGGGGGGCTGACCCCTGCTTCGGTTCCTCCTCCAGTTCAGCAGTCAGGGACTGGCCTCCACCTTCCTGGCCTGTGGGAAGCAGCAGCCACTGACCTCAGCCCCAGGTAGAAGCAGGAGTCTGGGCTCCAAGGACATGCTGCTTTCTGTTCTACAGTGGACCTGTTGTTGGACCCTAAGTTTTCATCTGTCTACCTATCAAATGAGGCCCTAATTCCAGACTTCCCTTCTTAATTTGATGGTTGTAAAGATTAGATAATCCAACTGCTTTGGAAAATGTAAACAAACATATATAGCTCTTAAGAGGGCCTTAGCCCATGCTAGGAGAGTAATCCTAATTTAGGATGCTTCTTCCCCATTCGCCCCCCCCCCCACCCAGATACCAGGAGTTCGAGGGACAGGCATCTGTTCAGGTATTTCTAAGGGACCACGGTGGGGCTGAGGGCAGACTAGGAAGGGAAATAGATTGATTAGAATTCTGCTTCACCTGAGACTGGAACCCAGATGTGACTGCCAGCAGAAGTGACAAGGCAGGTTAAGATGGGTTCCAGAGCTCAGGCAGGGAGGTCAAAGGAGGTAACAGGAAGGACAGGCAGGAACCTTCCCCTTCCCTAGCACCCACTCTCCCTGCCAGCCCTCCTCAACCCCATGCACCTCCACTTCCTCCCAGTGTTCCCAATATTTCCCCCCTCTGTCCAGGCCAACCCTCCCTTTACAGGTGAGGGAAAAGGAGCCCATTCGGAATCCTTTAAGCTTGCCTTCCTTTCTTCTAGCTGACTGATTCATCCAGAGCTTACCATGGTCCAGGCATAAGGCTGAGTTAGCACCTTTCAAAGCTTGGTACAGTGTGCACTTAACCCCTGTGAGGAAGGCACTTCTCCCATATGAAGACATGAGGATTAGAAACTTGAGTAATTAGCCTAAGATCAAATAGCACAGGGGGCACAAGTTCTTCCCAGGGTCACCCAACACTCCCCTTCACTTCCGGACTTACTCATAACCGGGCTTACTCATAACTTACACAGACCTACGGTCCAGGGACCTGCTGTATCATTTCCAATGAAATTGCAAAATTCTGTAAATAAATGTTAACTAGATAAGGGCCATTGTTATTTGAATGGAATTGCATGCATTGTAATGTCTTAAGAAATTATTTTCTAACAATATGCAAAGCAGGAGGGCAAATTCTGGCTCAGGTGCTTTATCAAGTTGTTTCCTGGGACACACAACAGGCCTGAAGTGCAGGAGCCGGTCTGAAGCTGGTGTAGAGGGTGCGCAGCCACCGGGAGTTAAAGGGGCAAGGTTGGATGGAGATGTGGGCAAGGAGGTGCAAATTAGCTTAATGGCGTTTTCCTAGTGCCTGTAGTGTAGCAATAAACCTGGTACAGATACAGAGTAGGTGCTCAACAAACATGACTTTTTCTCATCTTTCTCTCTCTCTTTTTTTTTTTTTTTTTTTTTGGTATCAGGGATTGAACCCACAAGCGCTTAACCACTTACATGTCTCGATGGGGTGATTTGCCCTGGAAGAAAAGGGATGGGCGTCAGCCCGGCTCAGCGTTTTCTCACCTGTGCAGTGGGAGATCTGAACCCCTGGTCAGGGAGGTCTGCAGTCACCTCCCTGCCCCACTACAGCGCACCAGCTACCCAAGCTCTTAGGTCGTCTAAAGCGGGCCAAGTGGCCAGAGGACCCCGGGCCTCAGAGAGCCCCCCAAGCCCGAACCCCTTGCGCGCTCACCCAGCGGTTCCCTGCAGGGATCCTCCCTGGGCTCCATGGCGTGGACTCCCGCGCCTCGGCCGCCGGCTGGGGCTGCACAGGCGCGGCTTAATGAAGCCTCGCCGGCGGGCAGGTGTGCAGAGCCTGCACGAGCCGGGCCTGCAGCTCGAGCGTGCATCCCCTCACCCCCACCCCCAGGGCGAGGCCAACCCCGGAGGCTCCGCGCCCGGACAGCTGCAGGGACTGGGAGCTGGGGGCGCTGCGCCCCGCGCTCCCCTCCCCCGCAGGCCCAGGGGGCTTGAGGAGCCCGGGTGCTGCGTCTGGACCCCTCCCCTCCGCCCAAAGCTGAGGCAGGCAGGGAGAAGAGGGGCAAGACAGCAAAACCACTGGGGGTCTCCAAGCACGAGGTGCGGTGCCGGGCTCACCCACGCCCTAGGCACACTTGGTAATGAACTTGATTATGATTTCCTCCTGAACCCTTCTGTGGGGCGGTGGAAGATGACTTCTAGAACCATCAAGGGATCCTCAAATGCTTACTTGTCCTTCTGCTCCTTCCTGGTCAGTAGGCTGTCTCTGAGCCTCAGGATGAATAAGCCCCAAAGTCCCACAGTGAAGGCCCTTCATGTTCAGAGCTTCCGTCATTGTCACATTTCCACCCAGTTGCTACCTCAGTTTTATTCGAAAAGAAGGAATTCTCTTGACAGAGATCCCACAGGGGAGAATCTTTATGATTCCTAGTAGTTCGTGGAATGTTTCATATCCTCTTTATTGAAAAAATCAAAATGTAAAATTCTTATTGCCTCTGCCTTCTGCCTGAGTGGGTGGGTGAGAAGAGTGGGAGTGGGAGGAAGGCTGGACCTATTGAAGCAGGTGGTTGGAGTAGTGGGTGGGGAGGTTGAGTTCTGACCAAAAGTCAGGTGTTTTGCTTTTAGGCTTCAAAAGACTCTGGACACCAGGTGCTTTCATGCTACCATCAGCTATTGGTACATTTTCCTATGTCTTCAGTGGCTTTGCGAGCCTTTGGACCTCAGAGGGTTGTGAGATCTTTATTCTTTTCTGAAACATAAAAATGTAAACTAACTTCATAGCAGTATGATCAAAACTTCAGGCATCTGACATTTCATTTCTACTTCTTCCATAAGACGGATATCCTAAGGTTAAGGTGGACTTTAGACACAGGGGCCAGTTTCTCTGTGGGAAATGAGGGATTCTAGGCCATTTGAGCAAGAAAGGGGCTCCGTGAAGCTGCACCAGTTGGTGATGACATGGTTTTAAGTGGAACACAAAAGTTCCCTTGATTAAACACTACTGTATGCTGGGCACCGTGGACAAGTCACTTTCTTATCCAGAAGCTTTCTGGTGGAAAGAAGATTAGAGCACTAGCACCATGGGTCTTGCCAATACCATGTGGTCAGTGGTGAGTTAGAGGTATGTGTGAGCTCATGTGGAACCCAGAGGAGCAGGAAACCCAGGCGGACTGGGATGGAGGCTTCTTGGAGAAGGTGGCCACCTGAGCTGTGAGTCTCACAGCTTACCATGTCACAGTCCTACCTAAAACCCCACAGTGGCCCCTCACTGCCTGGATAAAGCCCAGGCTTCCTACATTGGGACTAGAGTCTTCCATGGGCTGGTCCTTTCCTCTGAAGTCTCAGATCCCAGTGTCCCTACCTAGGTATCCCAGGGGTTTCTGTCTCTTTTGACCTAATGTTTTCTCAAAGTATTCTTAAAACTTCCTGAATCACAATTTCTTAGGGAGTTTATTTAAAGTGCGGCTTCTAGGTCCCCATCCCCAGAAATCTTAATTGGCAGGTCTGCAGAGGGACCCAGAAACATCCATTTTAACAGTCCCCCCAGTGATTTTATACATATCAGAGTTTGAGTCACTCTGAGACTCTTCAAAAACAAAGTCCACTAAAATCATCTGGGGGATACAAGTGGGGGCAGCAGATGGTGGGGCCTCTATGGGAAGGTAATGACCTTTATGAAGGTGTCCACTGCAGTGGGCAGCAGGACACAATTAATTTCTTAATAGAATGTCCTGTCACGTTAAATTCTAAATAAATCATCTTTCTCTGCCATCATTTATGTTGTATTTTCTCTTGCTGCCTGGCTGCCCTCTGCCAGGGGAAAAGTCAGAAAAGAAAAGGCTCAAATCACCATTGACTGTCCTTTCCGGAGGTTTCCAAAGGCAGGCCCTGGGCAGAGGCTCTGGAGGCTCCGGCAGCCTGTCCCAGCCATTGGCACTGGGCCGTCCACAGCACCTGTCTGATCCTCTGGCCATTTGCCCCCTGCAGCCGCAGTCAGTCTTGATCTCTGAGCCCTTTATGCAAACTTTGAATGATACAGGGTCAGGTAGTGCAAAAGGCTATGTACAGGGACTGAAGGAGTATGAAAATATTGGCATTTTCCAAACACATATTGAATTTGTGGGACTTGGACTAAGAAGAGTTTCAGCTTTCTTGCTTGCTTTCTCAGTCTTGGTCTTCTTGGCTTCTTAATGTATGACTTGTTTTTCCCCCAAATAATATAGTTGGTATTTATTTAAGTGAAGAATTTGATGTAATGTCTACAGATGAAGTAGCCATTAAGATGCCCCAGAGAGTGGGAGACTGTCTTAATGTGCTTTGTTGGGGAGGTAATGTGTGGCTGACATGTGCCCTTAAGGCATAATTTGCACATAATTTGCACATCAACTGTGAGGGAGGGAGGTTTGTCATGGAAGTTAAAACCCTCTTCCAGGAGAAAGTCTGCCCTATCATATGCAAACAGCACAGGTATTGTTATGGGATCCTTGAGGGGATTTGTTTCTAAGTCCTCTTGACTACCTTTCATCTTTGTGATCAAGTATTAATTGATAATACTTGACTTCATTTAGAGAAAAGGCAAGCCTATTTTATTTATTTATTTTTTTTGGTTTCTTAGTTATCCGAGCCAAACCGTAAGCCACTAGTACCCACTTAGCAAGAGCCATTTCTCCCAGCATCCTTTTCTTTCCATGGATTTGAGAATGACGGAGCACAATGAGACCTGTTTTGCTGTCACCAAATAGTTATATATATATTTTTTTTCAGCCTGTTAGCCATATACTTAGGTTACGGGCTCTTGTCCTTCCTCTCTGTTTCTGAAGAAGGTACCTGATGGGGAACATTTTTCAAAGCAGAAGCACAAGGTGATTTGTTCTTATTCTGTGAGACATACCCAATTTAGGCAGCAACAGGTCCCTGGGAGACCTGGGAGCACAGAGGCAAGAATATATTGTGAAAGGGAGGAATAGACAGGCTCTGGCCATGGAGATCAGAGTGTGATCACAGCACATCTGGGAGGCAAGGGCCCAGGAAGTGACCTGGAAGAGAAGTTGTCCAAGGGAGGGAGAGAAAGTACATGCCTGAGATGAGCAAGCGCTCAGAGATCAAGACTGGCTGTGCCTGCAGGAGGCAAATGGCTAGAGGATCAGACAGGCACTGTGGACCCCAGTGCCAATGGGGACTCTGGGACAGGCTCCAGGAGCCTCCAAAGCCTCTGCCCAGAGCCTGCCTTTGGAAACCTCAGGAAAGGACAGTTTGAAGTTGCTGGGGGTGGGGAATGGAGAACACCTGGCTAGAGTGGAAACTGCCCTGGCAGGGCGAGGACAGGTTCTGGCGTGAGTCAGTGTAATAACTTTTACTTCCCTTGCCCCACACAGTCAAGACTGGATGCCTCTAAGAATGGGGGCCGCAGGGAACACGTCAGGGCGGCTCCTGTGGTTTACAGAAAATCCCATGGTCGCTTGGGTTTGGTACTTGAAAAAGTGCTTTCACTTTGGTTCCAACCGCTCCTCCCCAGGGACTGTTTCTTCTGTCCATTCTCCTGGTCTTCTCCAGGACTGTGGCGCTAATTGCACTGTGGCACTCACTGAGTTCCCCTCAAAATCTGGCCCCAGCCTCCAGCCGCCACACAGCCTTCTGTTCTGAACTCTGAGTCCTCTCTCAGCATGGCCTGTGTTTTCTTCCACCCAGATCCCCCGTTGTTTCACCAGCCTCAAACATCTTTCCTTCTCTTCTATTTCTGACAAATTCTGTCAAAGTCTTACTCATACTTCAAATGTTCTCTCATCAGGTCGCCCCGGTGCTAATGTAACATAAATGTCAACCCAGTGCCATGGGAGGGAGCAGTTAATTCCAGCTGTGGACAGCTGACATCAGTGTCCCAGGAAAGAGAACATGAGGATCCTGCATGTTCTGCATGTATTGAGTTCATGCATGGCAACATCCAGGTCTGCATGCCAGGCATTTCTGCTTCCTGTATACGTATATATTTGTTGGATTCTCATAATATCTCTTTGAAGTTCTACTATTGGCCCTTTTTTTTTTATTAAAGGAGACTCTGTGGCAGAGAGAACTGAAATACTTTTGAACCCAGGTATTCTGCCCCCAGCCTGCCCTCCTAACCACTGGATACACTGTTTATTTGCTTAGCTGGATCACGGGGATGAACATACTGACTGGCCCATAAGGGATCGATAATTGTCCATTGACCAGCAGTTGGTCCCTGTTGCCAGGAGTTAAGGAGCAGGGAACGAGGTGAACCTTGACATGGTGGAGTCTCCACAAGCCCACAGGGAGGACAAAGTTGGGTAGAATTCAATACACCTGCATGCACCTGAGAGCGGCCTGTGGTTTCCTAGGTGATGTTGTCCTGGAGTCACTCTAGATGTTACCCTGGGGAAAGCTGAGAAAAGGGTATATGGGATCTCTCTGTTTTATTTCTTACTGTTATTATTATTTCTATAGATATGAAGCTATAGAACCTCTAAACAAAAAGTCAAAAACATGATCCCTATGTTCTGAGTACAAGTTCAGTTCTTTCAGATTTGGTCAAATTTAATTCACAAAATTAAATTGAATTACTGTACTTTGTATGTAGGGGCATTACTAACCTTATGTTGGCAGTAGTCTTTGAATAAAGATTTAAATTATGTCTGTTCCTTTAATGGGGTATGGAGAGGCAAGCAGAGGGATTAATACTCAATTTGTTATAAAAGTAAGACAATAATAGGAAAGCAAATGTGTTAGAAAAATAGTGGTAAATGCAAAATGATTAGAAATGGAAAAAGTGCCATTTGTCCTCAAAGCATCAGTTATTTACCATTTGGCACATTTTATCTTAGTGCTGTACCACTATTTTTGCTTTGTCTTTATGTGCTTGTGGTTGCAATTTTATTCCATGTGTGACTGCAAGCATTGCTCCCCCAAAAGGTCTGTGAAAGCAGTTCTATATTATTCAGAGTCTTCAGAATTTACCGAATGACAGCACTATAATTCAAGGGTTCACCAAGTGTAGGGAGAAAACATAAACCTTGTAATTTAAATATCTACATTTTCAAAAACTGAAATGGAAAGTTGGCAAGAAAGCTGCTAATTGTTTTTCTCATATAGGCTTTCCCCCCTCTCTTCCAGCAGGTTATTGATCTAGGTTGGGTTTGTTGTTGTTTGTTTGTTTTAATCTCAAGCCCAACCATAAAGTTGTTCCTTTTACAGAAACAGGTTGCACAATGGGTGAGCCACACTCAGTGTCATCAGGGCGGGGTCTGGAACAGAGGTCAGAAACCAACAACCAGCAGGACAGTTTCACATAGGGGCAGGAAGTGCCTCTGACAAGGTCCTTGCTCCTTCAGTGTCCTGGGGCTGCACCATCTCTGCTGGTGGCCTGGCTGGGGCTGGGGGTTCCCAACAGGACTTGCTTTGTCAGGAGAGCTCAGTATGTGGGAGGAGGGCTCTGTCTTCTCCCAAGGCCTGGTCCCCACATTCTGCTCCATCTTTAGCCGTGAAGCCTTCTTGGTGTCCCATGACACAGGTACCCTCCAGATCTGGTGAATAGAGTGTAAAAGGTAGGAGCAAGTCTTGGCTAGCAAGTTCCTCTGTCTTTTTGGAGAATCAGACTTAAGTTCACAAAGCATGGTGACTATTCCAGGTCTTTCAGTGGAAGATGACCTAACCTTGTTTTTAAATATCTCCTCTGCTGATGTCAATCAAGGCCAAGATTGCCAATGTGGGTTAGAAGCTGGGAGCACCCTCCTTTGCATGGAAGAGAGTGTGGTGACATGAGGCTGAGTTCAGTGAGGCAGAGACACTAAACTATGACAGACTAGATTGATTACCTGGGAACTAATTCATCCTGCCAAACCTGTTGTTTAGTTTGTTGGAAGAAAGCAATAGAACTGGATAGGCTACTAGAGCTGGTCTTCATTTTGCAAAAGGCTTCTGATTGTCTATCTTACAAGCTGGGTTGCTACATGTGTGATTAACTTGGTGCAAGGGAATTTGTGATTTAACCTGGATGGGGTTTTGTCAGGTGGTCATTCACAGCAGTCCTCAGGAGAGGGAGTCAAGAGTAAAGGACAGGAGCGGAGCCATATTTGGAATTAGATGCACTGAACATCATTAAAGACATATCTTCTGCTTAGGGATATAACTTCTGATCTGAAATCTTAGAGCTACTGCCCCAGGCACAGTTCTTTATCTGTGACTTGAGCTCATGAGCCAGGACAAGCAGGGATGCCTCTCAAACTTTCAATCCTAGTCTGATTCTCAGTCAGCACTCCTGGGACCCATGCCCAAACCAGCAGCCCCTCTCATCTTCCTATCTCTGTATCACCCACCCAGTTGGAACCGCCTTGGTTCCTGGCTCTCCCTCATAGCCTATGCATCAACTGTCTGAATATTCCCATTTCCCTGTCTACTCCTACCCTGCTCGGCTCCATTCTCCACAGACTTGCAAGAAAGAGTGTCTTAAAAATGCAAATTAAGTCACGTGTGTCCTCTTCTGTTTATATGCTGTAAGGAGTTTCCACTGTCCTTAGAGGAAAATTAAAACTTCTTCCTGTGGCCCTGCATGACCCAGCCTCTCCTACTTCATCTGGGGCAGCCAGTCTTGTTCTTCAAGTCCCTGAAACACATCAGTATTTTTCTGTCTCTCAGCCTTCACATGTGCCCTTGCTGACTTGGAGACCTCCTTGTTCTCTGGTGGCTAGTTCACAGTGCCCAGGGAGGACTCCCTTGGCCACGTGCTTTGCTGCCTCCTGCCTCCTAATATTCTCTGTTTCCATCATACCACTTCAGACGACATGGGATCATATTTTTGTTTACAGTCTGTCTCCTCTATTTTAAGTTTCTTGGGTACAAAACTATACTAGTTTGTTTCACCACCATATACCTATGCGTACCACATATGAGGCATAGTGGGTAGGTTATCAGGGTTAGTTATCATGAGTGAACTCATGAATGAACTCTGAATATGGATCTATTTTCTTTCTTTATCATGTTTGTGGCACATATTTCAGTTTCTGGTCACTCACTGTGTTATGCACAACAAGTATTTGATAAGCCTAATAAGTTGGGATCATTCCTGGAAATATTTATTAGGTATTTTGAGAAGTGAAGAATCTAGTAACCAGAATAACATGTACCATGTTAGACTCCTTTTGAAGAACATGGGCAGACTTGTCATTACTCTCTGGAAAAGTTCACAGTCACTGGAGGCCACAGCTTTCTGGAGGCTGAGCCAGGCCCACAGTCTGTTAGGGCTGGCTCAGTCTTCAGTGATGGACACAAACAACTTCATATTGAATGTGGCTTTCTTGTAGGCACTGTATAGTTGTTCTTCCTGTTTACCCCATCTGACCCTCTGCCTTTCCATTAGAGTGTTTAAAATATTTATATAGAATGAAGTTATTGATATAATTTGGTTTAAATTTAATATCTGGCAATTTGTTTTCAATTTGTATCATCAGTTCTTGATTCTTCTTTTACTGCCTTATATTTGAGTAGCTGTGTATTTTAATTTCATTTGTTAGCTTATTACTATACCATTATTTCATGACATCACTGTTCTTTAATACCTTTATTTTATTTATTTATTTTTATGTGGTGCTAAGAATCGAACCCAGTGCCTCACACATGCTAGGAAAGCGCTGTGCCACTGAGCACAACCCCAGCCCACAACCCCAGCCCATGACTGTTCTTCTTTTAAGTGACTGCTTTGGGACCTGCAGGATATGTTTAACTCAACAAGCTACTTGCAAGTGACATCATGCCACCTCACTAAACACCGCAACCTGAACACAGGGGACTTCTGTCTTCCTTCCTGTCCTTTGTGCTATTGTTGTCATATATTTTCCTTCTACCCATGTTATAAAACCCCCCAATACATTATTATTTTGGTTTTCATGGTCAATTGTCTTATAAAAATGTTTTTAAAATGAGAAAAATTAGTACTATATTTTGCTTACATATCTGCCATTTCCAATGCCCAGCATTCCTTTGGATGGATCTAGATTTCCATGCCATATAATTTTTCTTGTTAAAGGAATTCCTTCAGCATTTTTTTCGTAGGAAGTCTGATGATGAATTCAGCATTGACGTGTCGAAATAGTCCTTTCTTTGCCTTCATTTGTGAAAAGTGAGTATAGAATTATATGTTAACGGTTTTTCCTTGAGTACTTTAAAAATGTTGGTCCATAGTCTTCCACCTCCATTGTTCCTCAGGAGAAATCTGCCATCGTTCTTATCTTTGTTCATCTACCCATGTGACCTTTTAGTACCTAGCTGGTTTTAAGGTTTTTCTCTTTATTATTGATTTTGGGCAGTTTGATTATTCTGTGCCTTACCATAACTTGCTTTATGCATTTTGTGCTTTAGCATATAGTTCCCATCAATCTGGGAGATGTTTCATCTATTATTTCTTCAAATATTTTTTTCTGTGTCCCTTTCTATCTCTTCTCTTTTTCCAGGGCTTCAGTTTTACTTCTATTAGCATTTTGAAGTTGTCTCACAGTTCATTGATGCTTTACGTGCTTTTTTCAGGCTTCTTTATCTTTCTGTGTTTCATTTTGGACAATTTCTATTACCATGTCTCCAAGTTTTCTAATTTTTCCTTTTTCTTGACTGTAGTTAATTCCATCTGGTCTATTGTCTCAGACATGGAGTTTTTCATATCTGGAATTTGATCTGAGTCACTTTTATATCTTCTTAATGTGCATTTATTTTCCTCTGCATTTCTGAATATATGGAATAAAATTATACAATGACTCTCACATTCTTGTCTGCTATTTTGGGTCTATTTCTCTCAATATACTTTCATCTGATGATGGGTTGTCTTTTCATGCTGCTTTGTATGCCTAGAAATGTTTTATTGGGTACTAGACATTGTGAATTTTACCTTGTTGAATATAGTATTTGTGGGTGTGTGTGCACATATGTGTGTCCTGACATACAGTGACTTGAGCTCTTTCAACTTACAAGGTAGGAAATAAATTTGTATTCAGTAGAAATCATTCTGTGAATTTAAAATTTTGAAATTGTCCTGGGTCAGTAATATGTAATATGAGACTTCATGATCCTAGGTAGCACCCAGGAGACACAGGTCCCAGTCAGACATGCAATAACATGAGTAACAACTGGTACTCTGCAGTATACTGTGTTGCTAACATGTTTGATAGGTTAGTGTGCTAAATGTGTTTTTCAGTTATGATGCTTTTAATTCACGATGGATTTCCTATGATGGAACCTCATCATAAATTGTCTGTATATTTGCGTGTGTACACACACACACACACACACACACACATACTGTATCCATAGATTCCACATCCACAGATATAACCAACTGAGGATCAAAAATATTTTAAAAAATAATTGGGGCTGTACTGTACATGTACAGTTATTGCCTAAACAATACTGTATAACAATTATCAATAAAACATTCACATTGTATTAGGTATAATCAACAATTTAGAGATGATTTAAAGTATACAGGAGCTGTACATAAGTTTCGTGGAAATACTACGCCATTAAATTGGAGATTTTGGTGCACATGGGATATTGGGAACCAATCTCTCACTGATAATGAGTAAAAACATGTGTGTGTGTGTGTGTGTGTGTGTGTGTTGCTTCTAAGTCTTCTTCCGTTGTTTTGTTACTTAAAAATGCTTTAAATTTTTGAGACTTATTTTTAAGTGTTTTTAAGTACAATCAGAGAGGCTTTCAGTCTAAGGCTAATTTCCCTAACAGCTGAGGTGATAGGGCCAGCCTCAGTACCTGAATATGAATACCAAGTGTGAATTACAATGTCTTCTCTGGCTGGCAGGAATCCAAATTATTCCTGGTCCCATGTGAAATTTGCTCATTTTACCTCTTATTTTCCATTGCTTGGTTCTTTTCCTGGCTAGCGTAGTTTTCTCACATTGATTGGTTGTCACCTGAAGATGTGAGGGACTTCTGATCTCATTCTTCCCTCTATTCATTCACTCTCCCCTCTCTATGTATAACAAGTACTTTCCTCCCCAGCATCTGTCCTATGAATTACAGACACCTCAGTCTCCTTGAATTCTCAATTCTGTGTCTTCAACCCTTCAAGAAATTACCTTCAGAAAACAAGCTGGGGAAATTGTGGGGCTCACCTCATTTGTTTCCCTTCTCCCAGGAATTGAGTGTCCTTCAAGGGTTGTTGTCCAGTGGCTCTAACCATCGAATGACATGCTTTGCACAGTTTTTGAGTTGTTGAAGTTCACAGGGTAAATCTGATGTCTGTCCCCTGATACTGATTGGAAGCAGAAGTGCCCACAGACTACTTATCAATTTTGGTTTGCTTCCTAGTTCTATCTTGGCTTATTTGGCCCTATAAAGGCTGACTTCATTCCCAACCTACATACAAGCCACTTTTACTTACTCAAAACAGCTTGACCATCTGCACACATTTCCATATCTCAGTGCACTGGATGACTGCCTCCCTGTGTGTGCTCCATCTGGCCAAATTTCACTTGTTCCTCAAGACTTAACCAGATGACCAGTTATTTTACTAAACTTATCCAGGTGTCAGTGTTAGTTGCTACAGGATTTGCCTATATTGTGAACAGTCTTATTTTGACTTCTACTCCTAAGATCTCCTGATCTCCTGGAGGGCAGTAACCTCTATGCCTTATTTAGATTTTAACCTCTCAGCCTACCCAATGCCTGACATAGGTTCTGGGAAAATGTTTGCTTCACTAATGAACACCCAGTCCTAGTGTATAATCTTGCTTTCTAAAGATAGTATGGCTTGATTATTTGGGAAATGTGGAAATGATAAAAACAAAACATCAGAGAAGCAGTCTTGTACAAAAAAAAAAAAAAAAAACAATGACAACTAAAACTTGGATTGGAATGGCTGCCAGGCTCTAGCAGGTGTTCTACATTATGCTAATCAGCAAGGATGTTGGTCAGGTGCTGGTTCCCTTCTAGAACATTATCTCATCATTAAAACAATTTGTGGCCCATAGTCTAATTTTTTTTTCTCTCACAGATAGTAGAGTTCTCTTGTTTCTGTGATAGGTAAGTGCAGAAAAAGTTATTTCCTACAATCTCTTTAGAGATAATCACTTTCAAAGCATCAGTTTTACTCCGAGAGAGTTGGAGTCAGCAAAATTCTGGCCTGAGCGAAGCCAGGGTCTTAGAGACTCATATCTCAGCTACCTCTTGAATTGCCTGGGACACGTGTACCCGGGATAATGGTGTTAGGGATTCAAGAGTCTTACCTGTTCCTGAAAGTTGATAAGGACAAAAGATTTTGGAAGCCCAACCCTTTAGTCAAGAAAGGGAGAGGTTCAGGTACATCCCAGAACAAAACAAAACTCTCCAGAATTTTTTAAAAAGCTCACAATACTGAGTTAACTTGCTTGTTTGCCAGTGAATGTACCTCATGAATGAAATTCACTGTTTAGTTAACTGGAAGTGACAAGGAATTTATCCACGAGGAAGAAGGCTTCAAACTGGTTATACTAAGTAATGATTTAAAACTCCCTCTGGATGGAAGATAAATGAATTCATAATATGTGAATAGTTGGTCAAATCGTTTCATTGGTCAGAAGGTAGTCACTAGTTTGATCCAGTGACATTGTCACATACCAGGTGAGTCAAGGTTTTGTGTCCTTTCTCAGTATGGGATCTCCACTTGCTGAATGTTCATGGCTGTTGTTCAAATTCACCTGGTTGGAAAAAGTTTTAGTGAAACCTAGCACGCAGCTTTGACCTCTCCTAGTCATTTGTAGCTGAAAGTGGAAACTTTTCCTTTTATAGGTGTGGTAATATAAT